TGGCATGGCCCGGGAGCAAGCCCACTGAAATCACATGTCCTCTACCTGCCCCTGTCCTTTGGTGTTCCCTCACCAAGCGAAGTATCGCATGCTGTGGGCTCAGCCCCACTGTACAGTGAGGAAGAGCTAACAGAGGGCGGTCAGGAACGGGGGGAGACATCCGCCTCTTCAGCAGCCAGGCGAAGAAGTAGTGGCGAGGAGAGTGGCTTGGTAGCCGGTCTAGAGACAGGTCTGTCTCCTGACCCACACGCAGCCGAGGGGGCTAGTAGTGAGGCGGAGACCCTAATTGATGATGATGAGGCTGATCGCACTTGGTAGCCTCGTCGTCATCAGGCTATTGCTTCCGCATCATCAGGAGAAGAGGGTGGCAGCTTGGCAGCGAGCAAAACAGTCGGTGGGTTGCCCAGGAGGCAGCAGGGTCGCAGCAGTGTCAGTGGAGGCAAACGGCCACAGAAGCTGCACGTCCTCCTGTCCAAGTTGCTGGTGCTGCAGTCCCTCCCTTTCCAAGTGGTGGACTCAGCACCTTTCCGAGAAATGATGGCTTGTGCCACGCCGCGGTGGAGAGTGCCAAGCCGTCATTTCTTTGCCAAAAAAGGCAGTACCAGCCCTGCATTCACATGTAGAAGAGATGGTGGGCCAGTCTTTGAGCATGTCGGTCTCTGCCAAAGTGCACGGCAGCGCCGACGTGTGGAGCTGTAACTACGGTCAGGGACAGTACATGTCATTTACGGCCCACTGGGTGAACGTGGTGCCGGCACAGCCGCACCAGCAACTTGGACAGGTCACGCCACTTTTGCCTCCATGTTTGCACGTCCTTGGTCCACAAAAGATGTCCGCCTCTACCACCTCTTCTTCCGCCGTGTCCTCAGCCGCCACGCCCGTGCCAAGTCCCATTACCCGACCGGCATATCACATGTGCAGGGCGCAACGGTGTCACGCTGTGCTGCACCTGGTATGCCTTGGCGAACGTAGTCACACAGGGGAGGAACTTCTGAGTGTAATGAACAGAGAAATCGACAGTTGGTTGTTGACCAACAACGGAAAGAACATGGTGTCTGCTCTGCGTCAAGGAAGGTTGTGCCATGCGCCATGCATGGCTCACGTGTTCAATCTGGTTGTCAAGCGGTTCCTAAAATCCACCATCCCACTGCAAGACATCCTTAAAATGTCACGTAAACTTTGCATGCATTTCAGCCATTCCTACACCGCAAAGCACACCCTCCTTGAGCTGCAGCGGCAGAACGGAATTCCACAGCATCGCCTGATCTGCGACGTTGCAACAAGGTGGAATTCAACCCTACACATGTTAGACCGCCTTTACGAACAGCGAAAGGCCATCACCGATTTCCTGATGTTACAAGCGGATAAAGGTACTCCCCTGTGTAACTTAGATGTCAGCCATTGGCAGCTCATGCGTGACACCTGCCGCTTGCTCAGGCCCTTTGAGGAGGCCACGCTATTCGTGAGTCGGCAGGACTATGGGATGAACGACGTCATTCCTCTGTTGCACGTCCTGGAACAAATGCTGTTAACAATGGCTGGTCAGGGTGCGGTAGACATGGCGCACAGATCTCAACGCCACATGACCCCTGTGGGGGCAGGACAGGAAGAAGAGGATGAGGTAGAGGAGGACATTGGTGCTCAGGAATTATTGAGTGAAATGGGTGGTTTTTCCACTCAGCGGACAGGAGTGGAGGAGCAGGAGCATCTGGTAGAGGAGGAGGAGGAGGAGACAGAGGACCCAGACGCACCGTGGCAGTATGCTGTGGAGATGGAGGCAGGGAGTCCCTCGCATTCCTTGGCACAAATGGCCCATAGCATGCTCGGTTGCTTGCGTAGCGACAGCCGAATAATAACCATCAGACAGAGGGATGACTTTTGGCTGTCCACCTTGTTGGACCCTCGCTACCGTTCAAAAATGGTGGCCTTTTTCACACCTGCTGAGAGGGAGGACAAAATAACGTACTATAAAAACCACCTATGTAGTCAGTTGGTCTCTGCCTTTCTGCGCCAACGTCCATCCTCAGACACTGTGGGCCCTGTGCGCTCGCGTTCCGCTGCCATGGCAGCAGGGGAGGGGTGGGGTGGTAGGAGCAGTGGCAGCTCCACCAGCAGCGGCTGCCTCAGTCTGCAGTCGATGATGAGTAGCTTTCTTCACCAGCGCAGTGAGGAAACTACTAACCAGCCGCAGCAGCAGCAGCAGCAGCAGCATCAGGTGGACCTGGAGCAGGACCTCAAACAACAGGCTTGGGCCTACTTGGACAGCACCCTGCCAACCGAGGTAGACAATCCCCTTGACTACTGGGCAACGAAACTTGACCTTTGGTCCCAACTAGCTGAATTTGCCCTTGAAAGGCTGTCATGCCCGGCCAGTAGCGTGGCATCGGAGCGCGTGTTTAGTGCGGCAGGAGGTATTGTAACTCCGCGGAGGACACAACTGTCCACCCAAAGTGTGGAGAGACTCACGTTTGTGAAAATTAATCAGGCGTGGATTAGTCTGGATTTCAAACCACCAGTTCCTGACACAACTGACTAAATCCGCCATGAATCATGCCCCAAACATGTGCCACTTTCAGGTCTCCTCACACTGCTGGTGTGTTCCATTTTTTGTCATAGGGTGCTGGCAGATTACGGGCCTCCCATAGCTGCTGCCAGGCCCGTAATCTGCCATGGGCCCCAGTACCGCCTCCTCATGCTGCTGCCAGGTCCAGAGTCTCTCATGGGTCCCTGTACGGCCTCCCATTGCTGCTGTCTCCATCGCCACACTCTGCCATGTGCCACTTTCAGGTCTCCTCACACTGCTGGTGTGTTCCATTTTTTGTCATAGGGTGCTGGCAGATTACGGGCCTCCCATTGCTGCTGCCAGGCCCGTAATCTGCCATGGGCCCCTGTACCGCCTCCTCATGCTGCTGCCAGGTCCAGAGTCCAGAGTCTCATGGGTCCCTGTACGGCCTCCCATTGCTGCTGTCTCCATCGCCACACTCTGCCATGTGCCACTTTCAGGTCTCCTCACACTGCTGGTGTGTTCCATTTTTTGTCATAGGGTGCTGGCAGATTACGGGCCTCCCATTGCTGCTGCCAGGCCCGTAATCTGCCATGGGCCCCTGTACCGCCTCCTCATGCTGCTGCCAGGTCCACAGTGTCTCATGGGTCCCTGTACGGCCTCCCATTGCTGCTGTCTCCATCGCCACACTCTGCCATGTGCCACTTTCAGGTCTCCTCACACTGCTGGTGTGTTCCATTTTTTGTCATAGGGTGCTGGCAGATTACGGGCCTCCCATTGCTGCTGCCAGGCCCGTAATCTGCCATGGGCCCCTGTACCGCCTCCTCATGCTGCTGCCAGGTCCACAGTCTCTCATGGGTCCCTGTACGGCCTCCCATTGCTGCTGTCTCCATCGCCACACTCTGCCATGTGCCACTTTCAGGTCTCCTCACACTGCTGGTGTGTTCCATTTTTTGTCATAGGGTGCTGGCAGATTACGGGCCTCCCATTGCTGCTGCCAGGCCCGTAATCTGCCATGGGCCCCTGTACCGCCTCCTCATGCTGCTGCCAGGTCCAGAGTCTCTCATGGGTCCCTGTACGGCCTCCCATTGCTGCTGTCTCCATCGCCACACTCTGCCATGTGCCACTTTCAGGTCTCCTCACACTGCTGCTGGTGTGTTCCATTTTTTGTCATAGGGTGCTGGCAGATTACGGGCCTCCCATTGCTGCTGCCAGGCCCGTAATCTGCCATGGGCCCCTGTACCGCCTCCTCATGCTGCTGCCAGGTCCAGAGTCTCTCATGGGTCCCTGTACGGCCTCCCATTGCTGCTGTCTCCATCGCCACACTCTGCCATGTGCCACTTTCAGGTCTCCTCACACTGCTGGTGTGTTCCATTTTTTGTCATAGGGTGCTGGCAGATTACGGGCCTCCCATTGCTGCTGCCAGGCCCGTAATCTGCCATGGGCCCCTGTACCGCCTCCTCATGCTGCTGCCAGGTCCAGAGTGTCTCATGGGTCCCTGTACGGCCTCCCATTGCTGCTGTCTCCATCGCCACACTCTGCCATGTGCCACTTTCAGGTCTCCTCACACTGCTGGTGTGTTCCATTTTTTGTCATAGGGTGCTGGCAGATTACGGGCCTCCCATTGCTGCTGCCAGGCCCGTAATCTGCCATGGGCCCCCTGTACCGCCTCCTCATGCTGCTGCCAGGTCCAGAGTGTCTCATGGGTCCCTGTACGGCCTCCCATTGCTGCTGTCTCCATCGCCACACTCTGCCATGTGCCACTTTCAGGTCTCCTCACACTGCTGGTGTGTTCCATTTTTTGTCATAGGGTGCTGGCAGATTACGGGCCTCCCATTGCTGCTGCCAGGCCCTGTAATCTGCCATGGGCCCCTGTACCGCCCTCCTCATGCTGCTGCCAGGTCCAGAGTGTCTCATGGGTCCCTGTACGGCCTCCCATTGCTGCTGTCTCCATCGCCACACTCTGCCATGTGCCACTTTCAGGTCTCCTCACACTGCTGGTGTGTTCCATTTTTTGTCATAGGGTGCTGGCAGATTACGGGCCTCCCATTGCTGCTGCCAGGCCCGTAATCTGCCATGGGCCCCTGTACCGCCTCCTCATGCTGCTGCCAGGTCCAGAGTCTCTCATGGGTCTGTACGGCCTCCCATTGCTGCTGTCTCCATCGCCACACTCTGCCATGTGCCACTTTCAGGTCTCCTCACACTGCTGGTGTGTTCCATTTTTTGTCATAGGGGTGCTGGCAGATTACGGGCCTCCCATTGCTGCTGCCAGGCCCGTAATCTGCCATGGGCCCCTGTACCGCCTCCTCATGCTGCTGCCAGGTCCAGAGTGTCTCATGGGTCCCTGTACGGCCTCCCATTGCTGCTGTCTCCATCGCCACACTCTGCCATGTGCCACTTTCAGGTCTCCTCACACTGCTGGTGTGTTCCATTTTTTGTCATAGGGTGCTGGCAGATTACGGGCCTCCCATTGCTGCTGCCAGGCCCGTAATCTGCCATGGGCCCCTGTACCGCCTCCTCATGCTGCTGCCAGGTCCACAGTGTCTCATGGGTCCCTGTACGGCCTCCCATTGCTGCTGTCTCCATCGCCACACTCTGCCATGTGCCACTTTCAGGTCTCCTCACACACTGCTGGTGTGTTTCATTTTTTGTCATAGGGTGCTGGCAGATTACGGGCCTCCCATTGCTGCTGCCAGGCCCGTAATCTGCCATGGGCCCCCGTACCGACTCCTCATGCTGTGACGTTGCAACAAGGTGGAATTCAACCCTACATATGTTAGTCTCCCGCCTTTACGAACAGCGAAAGGCCATCACAGATTTCCTGATGTTACAAGCGGATAAAGGTACTCCCCTGTGTAACTTAGATGTCAGCCATTGGCAGCTCATGCGTGACACCTGCCGCTTGCTCAGGCCCTTTGAGGAGGCCACGCTATTCGTGAGTCGGCAGGACTATGGGATGAACGACGTCATTCCTCTGTTGCACGTCCTGGGAACAAATGCTGTTAACAATGGCTGGTCAGGGTGCGGTAGACGTGGCGCACAGATCTCAACGCCACATGACCCCTGTGGGGGCAGGACAGGAAGAAGAGGAGGAGGTAGAGGAGGACATTGGTGCTCAGGAATTATTGAGTGAAATGGGTGGTTTTTCCACTCAGCGGACAGGAGTGGAGGAGCAGGAGCATCTGGTAGAGGAGGAGGAGGAGGAGGAGACAGAGGACCCAGACGCACCGTGGCAGTATGCTGTGGAGATGGAGGCAGGGAGTCCCTCGCATTCCTTGGCACAAATGGCCCATAGCATGCTCGGTTGCTTGCGTAGCGACAGCCGAATAATAACCATCAGACAGAGGGATGACTTTTGGCTGTCCACCTTGTTGGACCCTCGCTACCGTTCAAAAATGGTGGCCTTTTTTTCACACCTGCTGAGAGGGAGGCCAAAATAACGTACTATAAAAACCACCTATGTAGTCAGTTGGTCTCTGCCTTTCTGCGCCAACGTCCATCCTCAGACACTGTGGGCCCTGTGCGCTCGCGTTCCGCTGCCATGGCAGCAGGGGAGGGGTGGGGTGGTAGGAGCAGAGTGGCAGCTCCACCAGCAGCGGCTGCCTCAGTCTGCAGTCGATGATGAGTAGCTTTCTTCACCAGCGCAGTGAGGAAACTACTAACCAGCCGCAGCAGCAGCAGCATCAGGTGGACCTGGTGCAGGACCTCAAACAACAGGCTTGGGCCTACTTGGACAGCACCCTGCCAACCGAGGTAGACAATCCCCTTGACTACTGGGCAACGAAACTTGACCTTTGGCCCCAACTAGCTGAATTTGCCCTTGAAAGGCTGTCATGCCCGGCCAGTAGCGTGGCTGTCTCCATCGGAGCGCGTGTTTAGTGCGGCAGGAGGTATTGTAACTCCGCGGAGGACACGGGACTGTCCCACCCAAAGTGTGGGAGAGACTCACGTTTGTGAAAATGAATCAGGCGTGGATTAGTCTGGATTTCAAACCACCAGTTCCTGACACAACTGACTAAATCGCCATGAATCATGCCCCAAACATGTGCCACTTTCAGGTCTCCTCACACTGCTGGTGTGTTCCATTTTTTGTCATAGGGTGCTGGCAGATTACGGGCCTCCCATTGCTGCTGCCAGGCCCGTAATCTGCCATGGGCCCCCGTACCGCCTCCTCATGCTGCTGCCAGGTCCAGAGTCTCTCATGGGTCCCTGTACGGCCTCCCATTGCTGCTGTCTCCATCGCCACACTCTGCCATGTGCCACTTTCAGGTCTCCTCACACTGCTGCTGGTGTGTTCCATTTTGTCATAGGGTGCTGGCAGATTACGGGCCTCCCATTGCTGCTGCCAGGCCCGTAATCTGCCATGGGCCCCTGTACCGCCTCCTAATGCTGCTGCCAGGTCCAGAGTGTGTCATGGGTCCCTGTACGGCGGCTCCCATTGCTGCTGTCTCCATCGCCACACTCTGCCATGTGCCACTTTCAGGTCTCCTCACACTGCTGGTGGGTTCCATTTTTGTCATAGGGTGCTGTATGGCCTCCCATTGCTGCTGCCTCCACCGCCACACTGTGGCTCCACACTCTGGTTTTGGCCCCGTGACTGCCCAAATGAGTGAAGTGTGCGGTGATTCTAAGATCGACGGCACTCATCTGCATGTCATACTGACTGACAGTATTATTTCTCTTCCCCAGCAGACTCCAAGGGCATTTAAATTAAAGGTACAGTGTTCTGCACTAATATGAAGGCTCTCTGAAGCCTAAAAAAAGGAAGGAAGGAAACCACGAAATAGACAAAGGTCGTGCAGCTCCACACCAAGGCTGGGGAAGCCCAAACAGAACTGTGAGGAAGATCAACAAAAAGAAGCGCACCAACCTTGCGCATTACCTCAGTAGTAGCTGAGCTCTGAGGAAGAAGGCTTGTCCTTCGAAACGCGTCAACTGTACTGAGTGGCTTCCTCCATGATGGGATTCGCATTTGCATCTTGCCTTTAAAGTCCCTTTGAGGACTTACATGCCTGTTTTTATTCGCTGTTTGTGAGTACCTTTCTTTTATTTAATAAATTTTGGTTACTGAGGTAATGCGCAAGGTTGGTGCGCTTCTTTTTGTTGTTCTTCCTCACAATTATAAATGGGCGACAGGTTTGAAATCTGATCAGATTTGGGCTAATTTGATTGTTAGTGGATGCAATTTTTTTTATTTGCTGATAAATACAACCTGAGTACACTCCATAACTTAATCAAATGATTCGGTTGTGATTTATTTTTCTAATAGCACAGAATGATATATTTTACCTAACACTTAGGCCTGATGCACACTCTCACCATGTGTAATTTCACTTGTTAACATGCATCAAAGTAAGGCAGCCCATTCATTTTCAATAGTCAATCAAGGCATGGCAAAGCAGGTTTTATCAGATGTGTTTCAATCCAGTGCACAACAATATACAGTTGGCTTACATGTGTGTATTGTGCTGCACTAAAACATGGGTCCATTGTGGAGTGTTGTGGATGTACACTATGCACACCAAAATGAATAGCCTCACAACACACTATACTAGGGCTCAAGCATTACTGTACATTAATGTACATTTTACTGTACGTTTCCACATGGGAAATCTGTCATTAGCTTAGGGTTAGATGTATAGGTTAGGCCACCAAAATTCAAAAGCCCAAATCAAAAACAATGTGAAAAATTCTATCCGAACAGATCAGGCATACAATTGCCAAAAAATGAGCTCTACCTCTAAAGACACAAGTGTAATTTGATTGTCTTCAGATTCTTCAGCACCTCCAGTGGTGAAAAAGAGTTAAAGTGATTGTAAATCTTAATTTTTTATATTGTTAAAATAACAAACATGTTATACTTATCTGCTCTGTGCAATGGGTTTTTCACAGAGCATCCCCAATCCTCTTCTTCTTGAGTTCACTGGCTGCACTCCTGGTTCCACCCCTTGCTGAGTGTCCGCAGAGCAAACCGCTTGCTCTGGGGGCACTCATGAGTGCCTGCTCCCAAGCCCTGCTCTGTGCGTCCATACAGCAGCTCCCATTACTGTATCTAAGCCAATGAGGAGCAAGATAGCAAAGAGATCAGGCTCAGGTTTGTATTTAGGTGGGCTGTGGGGGAAGCTGCACACAGAAGGTTACTTTACCTTACAGCATACAATGTAAAAAAGGTAAAATAGCTTCTGCCTTAACAAACTCTTTATTGGTTCACCAAAATATATATATAAAATGGTATAAAAAAACTGTTTTAAATAAAATACACTTACTTTCCCTCTTTCTATTTCTGTGTTCAATGCTAAGGGTTTTTTTTATCTGTTTTTTGTGGTTTCCAAATACTTTCTTTTCACTGAAATGCATTAGAGTAAACTATGAATTGGTTATTGTTGCAAAAGAATACTTCACTCCTAAGTTCTGTGGTAGATGGGATTATCTAGGAACTAAAATGTGAAAGTCTCGTTGCTGATGTCCCTTAATTATGCAGTATAAGCCACTGACTGACCTAAACCATCATCTAGATTTCACAAAACTTACCCATTTAGGTATATTTAGATATTTAGTAACAACATGCAAAAATGAATGAGGCTGTAAAAAGTATAGAGAGACATAATGAGCAGTAAAAGTTGTCTTTTTACTGATATGACTAAAGTTATTGGCTACTATGGGCTTTATTCATTATATTTGATTTATGTGTAAAAAAACGTCCATAAATTCCACGATTCCAGTCAAATCATAATTCCATTTTGGGTAGAACAGGGCAGGTTTGATAAAGGCTAGAATCCACTTCTGCAAAGGAGAGATGATACAGCACTTCCGTGTCCCATTGACTTTAGTAGTTCTTCAGTAGCAGGCAATGAAGAACTTACAATGCCAGTAGTAGCGGAAAATCCAATCTTGACTTACTGCAACTATGCTGGAAGTTTAGTGCAATTATGATACCCAAACCTGTTTAATCTAAAACATAAAAATATGCTTGGATGGCTCAACTCAAAAAGGCACAAAAATGTAAAGAAAACTCTTTTTTGCAATTAAATTTTGACGATTTTCGTTTGGAAAAAACTCATATGAATCATATAAATTTACAGTGTGCAGATATATTAATGTAATGATGTAATACTGATGAGAAAGTCAGAGATGCAGTACTAATGATATAAACATGAAGCTGACCTGTACCTCGGTGAGAAATTCATTTTCAGGACGCCGCAACATCTATAATCCCTTGAGCTCCACGTGAACAGGAGGCAAGGCTTTTTACATGATTAAATGCATGGATTAATCCAATGACAGTGTGTTAAGTAATGGAAAATATAACTTCTGTAGAGCTATTTTTAAGAAAAAGGCTTGAGCAAGTTACACGATTGCAAAATAAGTTAAAAAGGAAACGATAAATGTTATTGTATATTTAAGTCATTAGAGTCTATCATCCTGGTGATATTGTTGCAAGAGCAAAGTAGCATGCCAGATGTCAAGATTGTTTAAAATGATAAAAATCAAAACACCACTTGTTGTTCCATCGGGAACAAACTTTCAGTACTGTGTAGAAGCCAAGTATTCCACACCCCACTGTTCATCATCCATTAGAGGTAATGTTCAGAAACAACTATGTACCACCAGGGGTGAAGATATAGATGATAGAGTCCCGTTATAAAATTATTTTTGGGCAACCTAGGTCTCAAACCTCCATCTTCAAGACATTTCCAGTTGTTAGAGCTGTGCTATTCCACCACAATAAGTAAAATAATAGATGACCAAGCTACACAATATTGCCTGGAAAAATCACTATATAGCCAGAAAACTTCAGGTTCGAACCCCATAGAAGTTAAAAGGTCCTCTATGACTGCTATTTTTCCATATTTTTTTCGATACAAGTGCCAATTTAAACAGCAGTTGCTGGATATTATGTTTTTGTTCAAATAACAGTGGATAGCCAGCTTTACATCTTTTCAAAGTACATAAGGGTTTATTATGGATAAGGGGCCATATGAGATTTAGTTTGCACAGACGATGATGGAATACAGTCACGGGGGTACACATCTCTCTTTTCCAGTAGGTCATTTCTACACTAACTTGAAATTATTATTGAAATAAAGGTTCAACAGTTACTCAAGAAAGGTTACACAGTTCAAAATTGTGGTTGCTTGTCGGTCTACATATTAGATTTGTTTTGGCCCCTTGCATTGCACTATAATGTATAACAAATGCATGGTTGTACTGTGTGTAATAATTTTGCCTTTCTGTTAAGTCAGTGTAGCCACCAGTATTTCCTGTAGGCTGCCTACAGTTAATCATTTCCCCTTAATAACCTGCCATGCATTACTGCACATCTCTGTGTGAAGGATGGGCATTGCTTTCTCATGTCAGAACATCCCCCTTAATGATTGAAGCAGTAAGAGATGTTCAGAAATCACAAATTCATGGAATAAATTAAACAAAAGAAGGGAGATCCTTGCACTACAGACCCTCAGCTAGAGCTTCCTCTTCAGCAAAGTGAGCAAAGAACAGCACAGTAGTGACATCACCAAATCTTAGTCAAAATCTGTTGAGAGTATCAGTCAAAGGCAGCAATGCCTTATATGGTCTCAAACTGCAGATACACAGCTATGAGGCTTGTAGGCACAGGGAGTACCTACTGTAGATGCTGTCACACACAAGGGGAATGTACCTCTATTTTTCAGAAGGCAAAGGTTAATTTCTCAGAGTACTGTGTAGGCTCAGTTCACATTTCTAGATATTCTCTATAGACAAAATGTGTTCACTTTTGAGCTAAGGCTCTAATTTTAACTGGAATTCACCATATACATGTCATAATACATAGACATGAGTGAATATGCTTATTCTTAATGAATACAAATAAGTGAAAGTGAATTAAATATTAATAATGTAGTGACAGTCCTTTCAAGCCACAATGCTGTGGACCAGTATTCTGTGTGCCTTCACCCTGTGCAGAGGAAATAAGTGAATTGCTCACTCACCAAATTTATTTGACCCTGGTTAAGGTGGCCAATAACGCATTGTTTGATTGTATGCAGGAAGATCCGCGTATGGCTTTCCCAAGATATTCCTTAGAGTCATCAGCACATCACAGATAGTAAGCCCAGGTGCATAAACATATGGTTTCAAATAGATCAATCTTAGGTGGACTTGTGTCAGGCTTTCCATAGTAATGAAGGGATGATCCAAGCAACTAAAATAAATCAAATGTTTATAAAGGTTCTAAGCGCAGCATTTATTGATTAAGACATGATACATGTAAAAATGGTAATGCACTCACATGCTGAGGGGCCCTGTACACCGGCACCAGTTTGTATAGCCTTTGTGAACAAAAAAATAGCCAATGTTCGTTCTAAGCCTCGCTCTCGCTAAGCTGGATGTGACGTCATCGGAGCCCAGAAATGACAGAATCACACTTCTACGTACGTTTTGCCTGGCGGCGTCTTCAGGAAGTGACGACCGCCATATCTGGGCTGTTTATATAAAGGCTAACCTTCTCTAATTGGATAACTCAATAGCTGTGGCCAACAACCACATTGGATGGTTCCAGAATCATGGCCAACATATGTCTCTACTTGTATTTAATCTGGCTATACATGCTGTTGCTGTGCATGGAATTATGGGATCTAAACGATTTTGTACATTTTATCAACAGCAGCGAGTTTACATATGAAATATTATTTTGCTAAAATTAACATATGGTAAAAATACTTTATAAATAATATATTAATAAACCTAAATAATAATAATAA